TCCCCCGCCCCCACCGCGCGACTCCACTCCCCGCGCCATCGCACGTCCTTTGTCTGGTTCCGGCGCTTGGGCCTCCTTCTTCTGCTCTTCTAGTCTCTCTGTTCTGTGTGTGTGTGTGTCTCTGTACACTGTGTCTCTTTCCGGGCCTCTTTATCCAGTCGTGGAGAGCTCAGTGGGTGGGGGAATGCTCAGCACTCCCTCCTGGATCCTGGGACCCGCCCACCTGGCTCTGAGAAATAAGGCCCAACAGGCCATACTTTTCTGCTGTGTGACCTCAAACCAGCCCCTTCTCTCTGGGCCTCACCCTGTTCACCCAGGTCCAGGAATGTGAGTGTGGCTTCCTGAGGACCCTCAAAACCCCTACAACAATCCAGCATCCATTCCTCTGATCTGTTTTCTCCTTTGAAAAAGGGAAACAGATGCACAAAGAGGAGAGGGTGTGGTCAGAGGTCACAGGAGGGCCTTGGAGGCTTGGTTACTCCAATGGAGGGCACTCAAGGCAGACACCCACCATGGGGACAGGCTGAGAGGTAGTAAAGGGATAAATCGAGACAGTGAGGGCCCTGCACGCAGGAAGAAGGACCTGGAAGTGGGAGGCTCAGAACCACGTGGTGGCCCAGCCTTACCATGCATAGCCACTCAATGCCTTATTGTCGCTAGTTTCCAGGCATCTGTCACTGTGACTGGGGCCAGGGGTCGCAGCTGGGGGCCAAGGGGGTCAGACACTGGAGGTGAGTTCACTGTAAAATCCATATGTCAGGTGTATGTGCAGTGTTGGAGAAAGAGTAAGAGAGAGGGAGGGGAAGACAGGGGTTCAGAGGAGGGGATAAATAGGAGAAAGAGATGGAGGAAAAGAAACAGAAAGAGGAACAGATCCAGAGGAAGAGCTGGAGAGTGGGAGGGAAGGTGCCATTGCTCCCAGTGTCATCTGCCTTTCTATCTAAGGCCTTCCTCCCCTCTGACTTCACCCCTCCATCCCTGCCCTGGGACAGCCCTCAAAGGTCCCTGTGATCCCAGTGTCATCCCAGGTCATATATTGGCTGTGGCTGGAGCAGGGTGGGTGTGACCTCCACCAATCTGATCCCCATTATCGGCTCAGCCGGCTCAGCCATGGAGGAAACACAGGCGACACTGATCCCACTAAGCTCTGGCACAGATGGGAGGGAAATGGGGTGGTGGTAAGATTAGTAGGCTGGGGCTCAAGATCCCAAGTAGGAACACCCCAATCACCTCAACCCTCTCCAAGATGAGGACAGCATTTGTGGTTAGGGGAGCCTGTAACCTTGTAGTCTCTGCAGTCATCTGATCAGGAGTCAAACCCTGACTGCATCACCACCACCTCCCCCTGTCACTCTTGGCAATTCACAAATCCTTCTGTCCCTTAGTTTCTCCATCTGAGAAATGGAGAAATCTCCAGCTTTCTGTGTGGCTGTGGAAAGTCAATGAAAACTTATCACATGCTCAGTGCCTGCCTAGCACATAATAGGGGTTCCAAAGCTGGAATCTGGTGTGTCCCAAAGCAGGGATGTGTACTGCTGAATATTTGTCAGGCTCCCATAGCAGACATTTCAATCGACCACAGAACTCTTGCTGAGCCTAGACAGGAATTCAGAATCCATCTCTATACATGGGGGAACTCTGCACCTTTAGTGGAGGGACAGAGACCCAGAGAAGCAATGTGAGTGTCAGAGGACACACAGTGAGGAGGGGGAAGCCAGCAGCTGGCACATGGTGGCACCCAGTAAATATTTGTTGAATCGAATGAGTAGTAAGCTCAGCCAACAGAGTGGGTTTATATATAGATATAAACCCACTCTACACCCGGGAGGTGGTGTAGAGTGGGTGATCAGCTTCACTTGACTGTTACTATTGGCCTTTTCATTAGGAAAATAAGCTCTGGAGTCCAAACCCTGGATCTAAATTCTTGGTCCACCATTTGCCCACTGCCAAACCTTGTGCAAATCCCTACCTCTTCACTGAGACTCAGTTTCCTCATCTGTTAAATAACATTCAACGTTGGGAGAATTGCCTGGAAATTCTCACATGAAGAATTTTGTCTGGCACGTAGCAGGCGCTCAATACATGGCCACGTCATTAGTAAATTATTAATGTTAGGAGATGGGATGCAGATCCATGGAGGGTGCATTACTGCATTACTACTGGGGCCTGTGGCAGACATCGCTAGTCATCTCAGTGCATGTTCCTGCTCAGACCAGATGTAACTTCAGAATAATCCTGCAGGCAGCCCCCCAGATAGCCAGTCTTAGCCCACTGAGATGCAGAGGGGTGACCCTCTGTGCCATCCTTTTAATAAGAATAAATGGAAACAAAGCAGAGGCCTAAAGAAGAGCTAAGATTGTCCCTGAAGACACAACTATGAGGTGGCAGAGCTGCCCCCAATGCATTGGCCACAGTCATTAAAAACAACTCTGAAGTCTGACACAAACAGGTTTGAAATGGAGTTACCCATTTATATCACCCAACATCTCTGGGCTCAGTTTCCTCACTTGTAAAATGGAGAATGTGTTGCTGTCTTTCAAGATTGTTGAGAGAAAACAGTGAAATGATGCCTTGAAGCACTTTGCACAGTGCCTGGCACATGATGGATGCTCAGTGGAGTGGGACAATTATTAATAGCAGGATTATGAGGCAGGGATGGTTGATGTGACATGCCTGTTTTCACTTTTTGTGGCTGTGCTCATGACAGATATGGCTAACTGATCCCAGAACGCTTTCCAATTGCACCCATATGTGGGCTTTAGATCCTTCTCCAGGCCACTGTGCCAGTAATTTGGAGTTTGCAACAAAGTGGAACAGAGACTCAGAAGTGTTAAGTAGCATACCTGAGGACACACAGCTGGGAAATATGAAAGCCAGCACTAGGTTGACAGTTGGAAATACAGACTCCAGATCAGAAAAGCTTATGTGCAAATCCCTGTTCCATCATGTATGGGCTGCATGGTCGTCGGTAATTTTTCAAACATCTCTGAATCTAACTTTCTTCATCTGTTGTCAGCTCAGGCTTCTATTACAAAATACGATAAACTGGGTGGCTTAAACAACAGACATTTATTTCTCATAGTTCTGGAGTCTGGGAAGTCCAATATCAAGGTACCAACTGATTTGGTTCCTGATGAGAGCTCTCTTCCTGGTTTGCAGACAGCTGTCTTCTTGCTGTATCCTCACATGTGGAGACAGAGACCTCTCTCCTGTCCCTTTTTATAAAGTCATGGATACCATTTATGGGGGCTCCACCCTCACCTTCCAAAGGCCCCGCTTCCAAGCACCATAGCATTGAGATTTAGGATTCCAATACATGAATTTGGAGCAGGACACAGGCATTTAGTCCATAGCATCTGTCAAGCGAGGGGAGTAAAACTCTCTTCTTTTTAGAGCTGTTGTAAATCAGAAAAGAAAAATTGCCTGTAGAGGGCTTTGCTCTGTGTCTGGCATATAGGAAACAATATTTGGAAACAATTACAGTATTGTATTTTGGGTCAGGGATGGCTGAGATGATGTGTACCTGCTGACTCTGATTCTGTGGCCACAGCAGACATTGCTAATCTATCCCAATGATCTTTTCTGCTGAAACTGGATGTGACTTCAAATCCTTTCTAATTCATCCCTCTAGGAAGACCGTACCAATCAATCTGAGTTTTCAGGTGAGGGCAACCTATTCGCCAACCTGCCATAAGAAAAGACCTAAGGAAATGCTAGCTATTTTACCTTCCCATGCTGATGACAGACAACACCAGTCAATCCGGCACTGTTTCCTTCTGAGCCCAGATATGCCTTTAAAATTCTTCTCAACGTGGCCCTTAGATGTAAAATAGATGTAGAATATATTTGAAAGTTATTAAGAGAGTAGATATTAAAAGTTATCACAAGAAAAAATTATAGCTATGTGAGGTGATAGATGTTAACTAGACTTATTGTGGTGATCATTTTGCAATATATACAAATATCAAATCATTGTGTTGTACACCTGAAACTAATATAATGTCATATGTCAGTTATCTCAATTTAAAAAATAAATGTAGGAAAAGAACATTAAAAGAACAATAAAACTCAACATCCCTTCTTTTAAAAAAATATCTTGTTAGGATACTAGGAATAAAATTAAACATTCTTAACTGGATAAAAGCCATTTACAAAAAACCTGTAAAAGCAAAGATCATATTTAGCTATGAAAGGTTTAAAGTATTTCCTTTAATGTCAGGAATAAGTAAGATACATCATATTGTAGTCCCTGCAATAAGACAAGAAAAATAAATAGCAGGCATAGATTGGAGACAAAAATAAAATTGTTATTATTCGTAGGTGTTATTATGTTATACATTAAAAAAATAGCTCATGGAAAAACTAGAGGAGGGGGGTAAATGCCTAGTGGGAAAATTATGCATAAAGCAAAAGAACACATTTGGGATAGGAATTACCTTTAGTAGGAAGAGGGAAGTACATAGGAAGGGACATGTGAGGGCTTCAAAGCTAATAAAAATGTTATATTTCTTATTATGAAGACAAAAGTGTTTATTGTAGTATTCTGAAAACGCACAGGTTGGTTTTAGACAAACAGGCAAACATACAAAGGAGCATGTAAGGCATTTATATGGAATATGGAATTTTTTACAGTAAAATTATGTTAAGTGCTTTGCTCAGTGCTCAAGGAGTAGAAAAGAGACTAATACGTTGTCCTCTCCCCATGTTCGTGCCCATGTCGGACACGACTGATCTGTCACCACCGAGCCCCTGCTTACTCCCCTGGTCCCTGATGTGGGGACTGGGCCGTGAGCGGGTGTGGCCTGTTGTCTCCAGCAGATACTCGGGGCCATGGAGTCTCAGGTGGCGGGGGGCCCGGCCGGCCCGGCCCTGCCCAATGGGCCACTCCTTGGTACAAATGGAGCCACTGACGACAGCAAGACCAATCTCATTGTCAACTACCTGCCCCAGAATATGACCCAGGATGAGTTCAAGAGTCTCTTCGGGAGCATTGGTGACATTGAGTCCTGCAAATTGGTTCGAGACAAGATCACAGGTGTGGCTGCTGGCAGATGGGGAGGGGGGGACAGAGGTGGTAGCTTCAGGAATACAGGTGTGATGGGGACAGGTGGGACTCTGGGGGATCTGAGATGTGATGGAGAGACAAGTGTGACTTCAGATGGGAGGTACTGGGAGCAGGTGGGACTCTGGGGTCTAAGGTGTCCTGGAGGTGGTCAGCCTCTCAGGCCTGGGTCCGGGAGGACACTGGCAGATCTGGGGAGGTAGGTCATTGTCCTGGTCCTGCCCACAGGGCAGAGCCTCGGCTATGGGTTTGTGAACTACTCTGACCCCAACGACGCAGACAAAGCCATCAACACCCTCAATGGCCTCAAACTGCAGACGAAGACCATCAAGGTTGGTGCCCTTATTCCCCTGTGCCGCCATCCCCCTGTTAGTGCCCATCCTGACTGTCCCTATTTCCCTTTTATTACTGCTCACGGAGATACCCCCTTAACTGCCACCCGTCCTCCTCCATGGCTCATCACCCGAGGGCTTCAAAGCTCTCCCCCAAGGCTTCCTGGCTGCTCCCTTTCCCGGGAGCCAATGGCTCTTCCTCTCTGAACCTTGGTTTCCTCATTTGTCAATGGGGAGAATATCGGCCTCACATTCTGTGCCGGCTCAGGGAGGTACCCACCCCGCCAGCAGGGCAACAGGAGAGAGTGACCAGGGTCCTGTGGGCAGCCCCCTCCGTGCCTTTGTCATGGAAATAAGGGAGGGGTGGGGGTCCATCTGCCATCTGGAACCTAATTAGGATCTGGGAGGGTGGGATTAGGGGTGAGCCCCTCCCCGACCTTTGTGTGATGCCCCTCCCCTCTCAGCAGCTGCAGCTGGGACCTGGGAGCAGGTTCCCTGGGGGGGATCGCCATGGAAACCCCCTTTTCTAGGTTCACCTGGGGTGTCTGGCTCCACCCCACAAATCTGCTCTTGAACCCTGGGGGAAGCTCAGCTGAGGGGATGCCCATCTGGCTCCCAGTTCACTGTGGGAACAGAGGTGCAGGAATCTCTTCCTTTTTCTGATGCGGAAGCAAGGTCATGACCTGATGGGTCCCTCTATGGCCAACTAGACCCAGAAGCCCAGTGTGAGGCTTCTAGTGAAGAACTGTAAACTCTAAGGCCCAGGAGGCCACTGTGTACATGTGATGTGGCCAGCATGTGTGTGTGAGAGAGAGAGAGAGAGTGTGTGAGTGTGTGTGTGAGTGTGTGTGTGTGTGTGTGTGTGTGTGGCCCTAGGCTATGAGACGGTGTTTGTGGGACATCATGGCTATGTGAGTATCTGTCATCACATGGGTCCAGTTATTATAGACTTTGGGTGTGTCACTTATGTCTGTGGGACATAGTATTTATTTGACAGGTGTTTTGTCACACACTGCAACTTTGGCTGTGACCTGGTGGGGCTGTGTGGGTGTGTCTGGCCATAACAGGGTTTTCGTGTGTCATGGTGAAGTTGTGTGGGTACGTCTACTTGTGCCTTGTTCAGGGCGTGTGATGTTGTGGCTTGTATGGCGGTATGACAGGTATGTGCAATTCTTACTGTAATTATCCAAGATCCTCAGAGTTGCATGGATGTGGCCAAGATCTTGTGTCACCCTCCTGCTGGGGTAGTCACCATGGCTGTGCAGTGGGTGGCATGGTGTAGCCATGTGTGTGTGTGGTGTGTGTGTGTGTCTACCTGGGCGGCTATGTTTTACGGTCAGTACAGATTGCGTGTTCCAGCAGATTCCACCCAAAGTATTTCCAGCTATTGTGTGCCAGGCCCCGTCCTGGTGAGGAAATGAGGAACTTGGGTCAGCGCACATCATGGAAGGACAGGAAAGGCCCCTGAAGACCTACTCTGTGCCTCAGATGGCCCCCAACCCCAAACACCTACCAGGAGCTCAGGGTCCCCTTCCTGTCACCCCCAACTCCAGTCTATCAAGTCCTCACCACCTCAAAGCTCACAGACCCGTGGGGGAGAGTGAAACGGTCAAATACACAGCTGTGATTTTTAATTATGGTTACAGAAATAATAGCAGCTGGTGTGTTTTCTTTTTTTCTGGAGGACCCCAGGTGTGCCTAATGGCATTAATTAGAATCCTTTTACCCACACCCCAAGAGCACCCCCAGCCCAATTTGTTAGTTGTTGTTGTTGTTTTAACGCCTACAGCACCTGATAGTCCTAGGTGGTCTCCCATCCAAGTACGAATCAGGCCTGACCCCGCTTAGCTTCCGAGATCAGACGAGATCGGGCACGTTCAGGATGGAATGGCCATAGACTTCATTTTGTTAGTTTTTTAATTAGTTATTTTTAATGAAGTAACATGCCCTCACAACTCACATCACCAAACAAAAGCCAGACCCTTGACAATAACCACTATCTACCCAGAGGTTAATTTAGAAGATAGAAAATAGACATGGGCAGAAATAAGGGGTAGAGGAGCTCATGACACCCCCACCAGCTTTAGGTCACCCTGTTAGCACTGGGGTGGGCCTTCCAGTCCATGCTTCCAAGACATTGATCTATCATGCAATGAAACGGGTCACACAATACCTGCTGCTCTGTAAGTGGACTTTCCCTTCCCCCACTTTATAATACTCATCACTGTTTTGGGGAAATCAATACCTAAATCCACCCTTTTTTAAACAGCTGCAGAGATTTCATTGTTGGGCTGGACCACAATGACATGAACGTGTCTAATTCACAACTGAGAGCAGTACTATGTGGGAGAGTCACGGGGGTAGGGGTGGGCACCCAGTTCAGATGGGAGAGGACGGGGAAGACATTTCAACCAAGACCTAGAGAAGGAAAGAGGAAGAGAGTTCCAGGCAGAGGGAACAGCCAGTGCAAAGTCCCTGAGGCAGGACCGTGCCTGCCGTTTGGAGAACAAGAAAGAGGCCCATGTGACTGGAACAGAGCAGTCGAGGGAGGAGTGGAGGTAAAGAGAGGGTAGTCATAGGACAGGTCATGTAGGGCCATGTGGGCCATGAGAAAGACTTGAACTCTGAGGAAGGTGGGAGTCACTGAGGAATCTGAACAGAGGGATGTGACTTGGCTCAGATGTGCACAGGTGCCCTCTGGCTGCTGTTGGGGGAACAGCCTGTGAGGGGTGAGGGTGGGATGGGGGACCAGGCTGAAACTGCTGTACTAGTCGGGGTGAGAAATGGTGGGTGCTGGGCCGGAGTAGGGAGATGGAAATGGGGAGAAGCATGCAGATTTTGGATAATGAGGAAGGTAGGCCGACAAGATGGATGGTGGATTAGATGTGGATGCGAAAGAGAAGCATCAAGGACAGCTGAGCCTGGGTCCTGAGCACCTAGGAGGACAGAGCTGCCATTACTGAGTCTGGGCAACTGGTGGCAGTCAGGAGCCGGATGCAGCTACACTTAGTGTGCCCCCAGTGAGGCCCCCTCGAGGGGTGCCTGGAGGCAGGTATCACGTGAGTGTGGAGCTTGGGGGCCAGGCCCGTGCTGGGGATGAACATTTGGGAGTTGTCAGGGTTGAGCTGGTGGCTAAAGACCTCAGTGAGCCTCAGGGGCCCAGTGTAGTTGGGAAAAGAAGAGGCCAGCGTTCCAGGCTCACTTTCCAAGGGAGTGGGAAGCATCAGTGTTGATCGGATGTCCAGCGTGAGAGCATGGGCTGGGGACACAAGAGTCCCTGAGGTCCCCAGGGAGAAGTGTGACCCCCCCCCCAAGAGATATGGCTCCTTTGACCTTCTCAGATGGCAAGTCCTCCATCACTCTATGCAGGCAGGGCCATGGCCACATTGTCCCAGCCATGACCATGTCCTCTCCCCCAAGCCCTGGTCAGCTGCACCCATGGTGACTACTCAAGAGGTATTTGTTGAGTGAACAGATGAGGCATTTCTGCGACTCAGTGGTGGTTCAGATGTGGCGTCTCTCCATCTGAGAAATGGGTCTTCCCTCACACCTGTCTGCCTGACCCTCCCCAAGGTGTCCTATGCCAGACCCAGCTCCGCATCCATCCGGGATGCCAACCTGTATGTCAGTGGGCTCCCCAAGACCATGAGCCAGAAGGAAATGGAGCAGCTCTTCTCCCAATACGGCCGCATCATCACTTCCCGCATCCTGGTGGACCAGGTCACAGGTCAAGCCACTGGCAAGGGTGCACCTGGTGGGGCACTGGGCGGAGGCACCAAGGTGGGACCAAAACGGAGATATGGGGACTGGCAGGGCGAGAAGCAGGGGAGCGGGAGGAGGTCACATGGGAGGGAGCAGGGTCCTCATGACACCCTCACCCCCGGCAGGCGTGTCTCGCGGTGTGGGGTTCATCCGCTTCGACAAAAGGATTGAGGCTGAGGAGGCCATCAAAGGACTGAATGGGCAGAAGCCGCTGGGCGCAGCTGAGCCCATCACAGTCAAGTTCGCCAACAACCCGAGTCAGAAGACGGGGCAGGCCCTGCTCACTCACCTTTACCAGTCATCGGCCCGGCGCTACGCAGGCCCCCTGCACCATCAGACGCAGCGCTTCCGGTGAGGCCCCAGGCACCCCAGACCCCCAGGCCACTTGCAGCTGCCCTCCCTGAATCCCATTCCTGCAGGACAGAGGGACCCAGATGCTGGGGTGCCCACATACTGGGGCTGCTGAGGGCAGCAAAGGGGAAACATGGGGGTCTGTTGGGTGCTGAGGCCAGGCGCTGATATATAGCAGGCGCACAATGCACTACGAGGGGCAGTATCAACGTTAAGAGTTTAGAATCACCTGATCGGGTCCATCTCTTGACTGCCCCTCCACCCTGGGTGTGTGGCTCCAGCTGTCTGTGCCTCGGTTTCCTCTCACACATTTCATGAGTGCTTACTGTGTATCAGGCACACTCGCTTATTTTGCACAGCAACCATGAGAACACAGCTTGTCTTGTCCCCATTTGACAGATGGGGATCCTGAGGCTCAGAGAGGTGTCACCTGCCCAGCCCAGGCACTGTGGTGAAGAGACTTGAACCTTTCCTTCTGGGGACCCAAGCCCTGCAGGGTGGGGGCAGGCGAGTGGGGCTGGGCTGCTGGAGAGGGAGGACGAGGACTCGGCAGGGCAGGCAAGAGGCGGTGCTGGAGTGACCACGGTCCGTGCCAGGCGCTGTCCAGCTGGGCGGGGAGCGGGCGGCGGGGGCAGGGCTGACGCTGCTAGCCTGCAGGGTGGGGGCAGGGAGGGCAGGCTGGCTGGCCAGCATCACAGCCAGGAGTGTGCCTGGAGGCCACCAATGACCACCCCTTCTGCTCCACAGGCTGGACAATTTGCTCAACATGGCCTACGGAGTCAAGAGGTAATAGTGCCCCTGCCTCGCTGCCCCCAGCCCCTCACTGTCCATCCTTGGACCCTTACTCTATTGGACATGTTCCCCGCCTCATCCCCAGCCCTGTCTGCTTAGCCATGTCTGCCCCTGTCAGGGTGTAGCATGTTCATGAAGAGATTTGGGGGCTGCGGAGCCTAGTAAATGCTTACGAAGAGCCACCACACTGCCCGTAACCCTCTCTGGCCCAGTGAAAGGCGAGCACTGTTGCCCGGGCCACAGCCGTGCTCCCTGGTTCCCACGTTAAGTCTGAGGTCCATCTGCCACTATTGGTTGTCTTTGCTGTGGGTCACAGACCGCCCCTTGCTCCCTGTAGTCGGTGATGGACCTTAGGGCCCTGTGATGCTGTCCACACCCCTGACCTATGAAGGCTCATGTTTATTGCATCACAAGCTGTTGAGCGCATGCTGAGTGCCAGGCGCTTAGCTTGAGGCTAGGGACCCAGTGTGGCCCAGCCACACTCGGTCCTTCATGTTAATGAAACAATATTGAGCACAGTGCTTGGCACATAGTGAGCGCTCAATAAAAGGTAGCTGCTCTTAACGATTATTGTTACTGTTATTAATTATCTCAGTCTAGTGGGAAAGGAGACAGATAGACGAACAGTGGTCAGGGGGCGCGAGGGGTAATGGTGATCCAGTGGGGACCCCTGACTCATCTGAGGTGACAGAGCAGAAGTGGGGTTCTTGGCAGCAGCAATGGCCTGTACAAACGCCCAGAGGAGGAAGCAAGCAGTTAGTCCCAAGAGCTCGAACTGAGTGATTTAGGCCCTGGGGGTCTCTGCCCAGTCGAATGGAGACCCCATGTTTACTGTATGCTAGGAGCCGTTCTGGGCCGGGACACCACGGGGAACAAAACCTTTTAGGGAAGAGGGAGCTGATAATAAATAACCGATTTAGATAGAAAAAGGCCAAAGAAGGGCAGAGGGAGGAAGTGGCCATGTTATGGGTCAGACGAGGCTGCCTGAGAAGGTGATGATTGTGCTGAGCCGTGAATAACGATGGGAGGTGCTTAAATGGCTATGCCCAGTTCCCAGCACTGCACTTCCCCGGTGGGCCTCCAGCCACGTGGCCAGATGGCCAGTGGGGCAAATGGGATGTGGCTGAGGACAGGATCAGAGTGTGCTTAAAGATGGGGCAAAGGCAAGAGTGGTGTGGGGAAGTGGTCAGGTTCAACAGGACCAAGGACCAGGTAGGGCCAGAGGTCATGGGGTCAGGGCATAGTTCAGGGCTCAGGGCAGGATCACGGGTGAAGGATGGTCTGAGATCAGGAGACCGTACAGGTCAGGATGGAGTCTGGGGGCTGGTGCCTCAGAGTGGGTGAGGTTTAAGTTGGGGTTATAGTTGGAGGTCACAGCAGGTCAGGACAATACAGGGCTCCCAAGGTCAAGGCACGGTCAGAGGTTATGTCAGGGTCAGGTCACAGGGTCATAGTAGGTCGGGGGCGTGCTGGGGGTCAGGGCAGAGCCCGCGTGACCCCCAAAGTAGTCCCCTGTCGCTCATCGCCAGGTTCTCGCCCATCGCCATCGACGGCATGAGCGGCCTGGCGGGCGTGGGCCTGTCAGGAGGCGCGGCAGGTGCTGGCTGGTGCATCTTTGTGTATAACCTGTCGCCGGAGGCGGACGAGAGTGTGCTGTGGCAGCTGTTCGGGCCCTTTGGGGCGGTCACCAATGTCAAGGTCATCCGCGACTTCACCACCAACAAGTGCAAGGGCTTCGGCTTTGTCACCATGACCAACTATGATGAGGCAGCCATGGCCATCGCCAGCCTCAATGGCTACCGCCTGGGTGAGCGCGTGCTGCAGGTGTCCTTCAAGACCAGCAAACAGCACAAGGCCTGAGCCGCGGCCGCCCTCCCCACCCTCCCCGGGCAGCAGAGAGAGAGAGAGAGAGAAAAAGAGAGAGAGAGAGAGAGAGAGAGAGAGAGAAGGGGCCCGAGAGAGACAGCACAGGCAGACCACGGACAGCACGAAGCCCCGCACCCCTGCGGGAGCCACAGGGTGAGCACTCGGGCTGGGAGGGTCTTCAGGGAATGGGGGGTGCCTGGGGGTCCCCCATCCCATCCTCCTGCCCCTACCCCAGGCTGGGCTGTTCACTCTCTCGTCTTGGTTTTGTTCATGGAGATGGTTTTTGTTTCTTTTTTCGGCTAAAAAGAAAACAGAGATGCGCCCCCACCCCACCCTCAACCACCCTCCATGGGATGGCTGTTGGGGGAGTGCTGGGGGTACCCTCCAGGCCTCCCCAACGCCGAGGTGAGCCCGAGCGGGGGACGGAACAGGTTTAAAAATCCCCAACAAAGCTAAACATGAGAGGGCTGTGGGCATCCCTGGCCCAGAGCCCCTCAGTGGAGTATGAGGAGCAGGGGGAGGGGCTGGAAACAGAAACAAAATGAAAAAAAAAGGGGGGGTGGGAGGGAAAGAAAATTTCTATTTTTGTAAAAAGGGAAAAAAGACCTCGTGGAGAATTTTTACTGGGGATTCTTGAACTTGAAAAAAAAAAAAAAAGACAAAAAAAAGAAAATATTTTGACAGGCTATGTTTACCAACTGGGGCAAAGACAGGGAGCGGGGGCAAAGGCTTAGGGGCTGGGAGGGCACGGGGCCACAGAGAGAAACAGCCACACAAAGACACGCAGGGGCACACACCCCCCCACATACAGGGACGGACGGACATAGAACAGCACTTACAGACCCAGACGCACGCCCTGGAAACGTTTAGGGACTAGGCCAAATTCAGACACGGAGACAAACATGGGTAAAACACAAGAGACTGAAGTAAGGGCCACATAAATGTGGCGGCAGTTGAACATGGACGTGGACAAACGTGGCCACAGGCAGCTGTGGACACGGGCACACATGGACGTGCAAACATTTCCATGTGCGTACATGGAGACGTGAAAGTGGAGACATACATTTGAACACACAAATCTAGACACCCAGTCACAGAGAAACAGAGACACAACACCCAGGAACACACATACCTGCTGCCCATAGCACCCCTCAGGCCCAGGTGAGAGGTCCCAGCCCAGACCCCAGCCCAGTCTGCTTCCTCTGGCCAGGCCGGCCGCCCCTCCCCCCGGCACGCGGCCCCACTCGCCCCTGCCCCGGGTTCTCTGCGGAGCTCTCCTGGCTCATCAGTGGTCCCTGCCGCCCACGGACACGGGCGTGCACACACAGCGTCCACGCATCCAGACACACGATACCTCGTTCACTTTTGGCGTCATGGTGGGCTGGAGGCAGCACCCCCCCCCAACACTTGAGGCCAAAGGACCCCTTGTCCCTGGGGCTTAGCCTCCCTGGGCCCAGGCCCTGGACCCAACGGGAGGTGGGGCCCTTAGCCTCTCCTCCTACACCCAGAGCCTCCCCGGCAGCAAGCACCCACCACTCCCCACCAGGCCCAGGGTGGACAGGCCTAGGGCCCAGCCCTGCATTCCCTTCCCGTCCACTAGTCACCCCTTTCAGTTTATTGGGTTTTTCCGTCTTTCCAGATGAGTTGAGGGCAGTGGACGCAGCCCCTATCCCAAACCCCAGCCCTGGCTTCTGTCCGGAACTTCTGTCCCCCTAGTTTTCATTCTTTGTAACAAAAAATTCCAACAGAAGCCAAAGGCAGGAGCCCATGGGAGCCCTCGCACCCTCTCCCCGACCCTGCAGTGGGCCCAGTCAGAACCGAGAATCGCAAACCCCGATTTTAGATTCAGTTGACTTTCCTCCGGTGTCCCTGCTTTGGTGTCCGGCCATGGCCCCATCTGACTGCCCAGCTCTCTCTCCCCCACCCCTCCCCGGTGTTTGTTATTAAACGTCTGTGGAGCTTCTGCTGCAAGGAACAAAAAGAAAAAAAAATCAAAAAAGCAACAAAAAAACACAAATAGAAGAGAAAAAAAGCGACAAAAAAAAAGGAAGAAAAAACACACAGAAGAGATTTTAAAAAAAAGGAAAAAAAAAACAGACATAAACTGGCACCAGTTAACTTTCTCGTACTTTTTTGCCGAATTTAGCTTCTTGTAGTTTTAACTTATTGCTATGTTAACTATTTATTCTTGTTGCCCTGTAAGGACATTTGTGTATATTTCTGTTCCTTCATCCAGTTTGCAAGTTTAAAGGAACCACGATGTTCTCTTTGTTTCTTTAAGTTTTGCCGAGACGTGGTTATGCCTAATTTATTTATAAAAGGGGAAGTGAAATCATTAAAGTAATAATAATTATTAATAACAGTAACGGTAGCCAAGTGGCACCGGGGGCGCGTGCGCTCTGCGGGGCAGTTCCCCGTGTGGCCAGCGACGCCCGGGTCTCAATGGGATTATTTTTGCTCGTCTTGAGAATTTTTTCAGTCCTATTTAGCTGGTGAAAACCCTAGCTTGTTCTTGATACACGAACCTATTTATTCTTGTGGTTTCTAAGTCCTCCCGGATCCCCCCACTCCCCTCCAGCAGGGCAGGCCCCTTAGGGGGTCCCTCCCTCTCCCTCTGCTGTTTCTTGGGGCTTTCTCCCCTCCGCTCTCCTTGCACGCGGGGACACGTGTGCACACGTGGGCAGCGTGCTGGGGGCATCTGTGAGCAATAAGGGCTGGGTTTGTCCCCCACCCTGGGGGGGACCGGGCTCTGGAGAGGGGGTACCTCCCCACCCCCATCCCCCCACTGAGGCCTAGGCCCCTGCCACCCCCAAGACTGGGAGGGCACTTCTTTTTCTAAAACATAGAACTCAGCCTAGCCAGTCAGGCCCCCTCCTGGGAGGCCAGCCCCTCACCCCGGGGGAGGGGGCCTGGGGGTCTTCCATGTCCCTGGGGATGGGGGCAGGGCCCGTGGGGAGGGGGCCTCAGCCCCTCCAGCCCTCCCTTCATCCTGTTATTTATTCAGAAGGTTTCACATCAGACAGAGTCCATATGTTGGAGGTGATAAAGAACTGTAAAGAAAAAAAAAAAAAAGACAAAAAAAACAAGAACACTTTGCGTTGCGTTTAGACTATTTATTACCGGATTACAGGCCTGGCCGCGGTAACAGACTTTTACATGGAATTGTTTAATTATTTGTACTTTTCATGCCAGAAAATAAAAGTTCAGAATCTTACGGCCTCGGTCGGGTGTCTGTGCACTGGCAAGCAGGGAGTGTTGGACTATGTGCTCTTAACCCTGGCTGTGCGGCCTTGTGCAAGCTGCTTTCCCTCTGGGCCTAGGTCTCATCTCAGGCTGCTTGGCCTACCCACAGCACAGATGAGACTCAGGCAGCATGGTGGAGGTGGGACTAGCTCAGGCAGAAATCGAGACTGATGTGGCCCGCGGTCCCTTGGTGTCAGATCCTCTAGTTCCATGGGCATCTCAGGTGTGAATCATTTTAAGTGTGACTCAGGCTCTGTGGAGCTGGTCTGATGGGGGAGGGGACCAGCCCAAGATCCACAGACAGCTGCTGCCTCCCACGTTCTGCCCTCTGCCCACCCTTGGCGCATTTCATGCCCAAGCAAAACAAGGCGGACATAGATGGGTTGGAGGTTCATGTTTATTGTTTCGAAGTCACAGTCAATTCACTGTCCCCACCAGGAGGGGAGGTAGATGCCCTGGGCAGGGGGCGGGGCAGGCTGGGCAGTGAGCCATCAGGCTGGGCCTGGGGAGGGTGTGCTCCTTTAGTCCATCTTTGGGGGCTGCTGGGGCCAAGAGTAGGGCAGGGAGCTCCTCACAAATCCTGCCCCCATGGGAAGGACGAGAAGACTCAGAGGGGGCAGGTCTCGATCCACAGACTGTGGAGTGAGTGGGTGGCACTGCTGGGGGCTGGTTCCATGCCTTGAGGTTCTGGGGCCAAAGAAAGACCCAGGGAGAAAGAGACAAAGGGACACAGGTGAGGAGAGCAATGGCACTGGCCTAGGTTCCTTAAACGCCACTGCATCCCCAATCCAGGCAGACAGAGACCCGACTCCCTACCCACCTCTATGCTGGGCAGGGCTAGAGCTCATCGTGGTCGCCATTGGCAGGCGGTTCAGGGGGCGGCTCTGGGCAGGCGGCTGGTGTCATCAGCTCCATGAGGTACTCGCAGCGACTGGGCTCCATGGTGCTGGTCACCACTGTCTCTTTCCCACATAGCAGGCGCACCTGCGGAGGGTGGGCTCAGCCAGGCCTGGGTCCCCCAACTCCACCCCCTACCTCTGTCCCCTGCCCACCAAGCACTTACAGTGGTGGAGCGGTTGGGGCCCTGCCAGCAGCCCGTCCCCTGCTCGTACTTCATGATGCTGAACTTGTCGTGTTCCGGGCCGGCCCATGAGCCCCAAGTGCTGCGGAAGAGTGGGGTGCTAAGGGTGGGCCAGCTGGGGGCCTGGAGGATTGCAGGGGACAGGGGAAGGGGGATCCAGCCTGAGCTCACTCACCCGAGGTTGGTTGGGGAACCACCGAGCTTGGGTTTCTGTGAGACAAGTTTGAAGGGACAGAGCCGGTAGATGTACCTGTCATGGGATGGGGCTGGTGGGTGGGGGGAACACAGGGCCCCAGCCTCCCTGACGTGCCTGCACAGGCCCCTCAAACTTCAATGATCAGCCCTAAGGCCACCCCCGCTCACTCCCCCATGACCTTGCTCAAACTCGTGGGACCCTCCAAGTCCACCCGCCTGCCCTGGGACGGGGAGGGGAACACACTCATTGGTGGTGAGCTCATAGCACTGGCTGTATAGGTAGGCGAACTCCCCGTTGGGGCCGAAATCAAAGGAAATCTCCTGTTCCAGGTTCCTGGAAGGGAAGGACAAGTGGTGAAGGGGAAGTCAAGTCACCACAGGCAGACTCAGGACAACACTGGAAGGCCCTGTGATCCATCAGTGGAGGGCCGTGAGGGAGATGGGCTCTGGCTCCCCATCTCTCCGCCTCCTGGGGACCCCCCCCTCAGGAACCACTGCCATCTCTCTTCTTTGGTGGCAGTAGTTGCCTCAGCAACTTCCCATTACCACCTCCTCTGGGGAACGGGGCAGCAGGCGGCCGTGGGGCAGGTGGTGACGCGGCCCTGCTGTGGCCAGACCCGTGGCCCCATACCTGATGGACTCCTCCATGTCCCTCAAGGACCGCTCAGCCTCCTCAAACTTGTTACGGGCCTCCTGGGCAGCTAGGGGGACAGAATGGGGCAAGAGGTCAGAGGCGCCCCTACCCCCATCCAGGCAGGGGGTACGTGGACATGCCTGCTTCCCTGCCCCCCGGGCCTGCTGTGGGTGAGGACTGGGCCAGGGACGGCCCTGTGGGCCTGCCAGCCGCAAGGCAGACCCCAACCCACCGCCCAGGCTCTCGGCTCCCAAAAGAAGAGGGTGAGGGTTCCCAGGGCCCCACTGGCTCCCCGCCTGCAAGGGTGGCACAAACAAGTAGCAGCCGTGAGGCGGCAGGAGGGCCCCTGGGGTTGGTAGGGGTGGCACTGGCCTCCCCAGGCCCCAGACGTGCCCTCCAGGATGTCCCTAGACCCCCAGGCTTGCTGGAGGAGCAAGTGGGGCCTGGTTCTCGGGCCCCTGCAAGTGCAGGAGATGGGGGGCAGGGTCTCCTCCCTCTCAAACCGTGAGACCTCACCATCGATGAAGGCCTGTGTCTGCTCGTCGTAGGGTGGCATTTTGTCCTCAGTGGGGCTGGCTGGTTGGGGGGGCACGAGTGGGGGTGGGGACTCCTGGCAGAGGAGCAGCAGAGTCAGTGAGTGACCCTGCCCCAGCTCCACACCCCCTTCTCCCCAAGACACACACCTTGGACTGCTCCCCCTGCACCTGGGAATCCCCCTCCTCCTCCTCTTCTTCCTCCTCCAGCTCCTCCTCCTCCTCTTCCTCTTCCTCTGTGGGCAGTGAGGGCAGCGGGGGCTGCTCCTCTCTGGGCTCCATCACGTCAGGCACAGATGGCGCCAGTGGGTCAGTGGGCAGCACCTGGCCGGCATATGGGGTGCTCTGTGCTGTGGACTTGGGGTCTGCCCTCACCCCCATGGGGCTGGGCCCACACTCACACCATCGCCCTAGGGGAGGCCCCAGTGTCTCCGCCCCTTCCAAGGGGCCTGGAGGGACAGCTGGGGTGGGAGGTGCTGAGGTGGCCCAGCTGGCCAGGGTGGCCCAGTGCCAGAACTGGAAGCAGTTCCTTTGTGAGGCATAAAGGGGTGGAGCAAGGGGGTGCAGGACCACGTCCTCTCCCCTCCCCCACTGACCTCTGATTGGTACTTGTCCCTGATGGCAGCCCAGACACGGTCGTGGAAGGTGGCAGCGTCCATCTGCACATCTCCCCCAAGCAGGGTCTGTGTGCGTGCGGTGGAGCAGCGTCAGGATCAGGGCCTCCAGGTGGCCCTCCTGGGCCCCGGGGACTTGCGAGGGGGGCCTCGGGCTGTGGTGCCAGGCACAGGCCAGCCCTGCCCTCCCCAGGCCACGGCAGGCCAGGCTGGGTGAGGCACAGCAGCCGGAAGTGGGCAGCACGGCTGGTGGGAAGAGAAGCCCGCCACCAACAGGGCGAGGGCAGGGGGACAACTGGAGAGACCAGGGAGTTAGAAGACCTGGGAGAGGCCAAGAGGGGCAGGAAGGGACCCAGCAGGGGACAGTGACGGACAGAGGACCAGGGTCCAGACTGCAGAGACAGAGAGCCAAGGCCCACGTGTGAGGAGTGTGACTGGTGTGACTCATGGAGCCAGTCGGGGCATGTGGGTGGGAAACCAGGCTCTGTCTGGACCAGACACCCTGAGGCGCCCACATGACCCCACCAGGTCCCAAAGTGGTGCTGGGCAGTGCCTTCCTGGCTCACCCAGGTAAGGCCGGGCTGCACGGGCCACATGAGAAGCCCCAGCAGCTCCAGTCCAGGGCCAGCGGGGAGCTTTCCATGGGAGCAGCCCACAGCCAGCCTGTCCCCCGCTTCCTGGCTCTGAAGTCACCTGGGGCAATCCCCTCTAGGAGTCCCAGAAGAAGGGGCAGGGTGGGGTACCTGGGCTTCCCCTTCTGATAGCACCCCATCCCCATCGGTGTCCAGCTCTGAGTGGGTCTGTAGCTCAGCCAGGGAGACCCTGCAGGGACAGAGGCCAACAGAGGTGTGAGCAGCAGGAAGTTGGGAGGTGAACTTTAGGGTCGGGGACCCCACCCAGCCCCCACACCCAGAAAGAGCAGGTCCTGTCCACCTGGTCCCTTGCCTCCTACCCCTTCCTTAAGCCTCTACACTGAAGGGGCTCAGAGGAGGGGAGAGATGGGCGGGATCAGCCTCTCCTCCCGACCTGCCAGCAGCAAGCATTTCCCTCCACCCTCAGAACCCGAAGCATCCAAACTGCCCTCTGCTTGGTGCCCTCCACCCAAAGGAGCCCAAATACCCACAATGCCCTGGGCACCATACTCTGTCCCCCCGCCCACCACCATTGCCACCCAGGGAATGACCCGCCCTGCCTATTCTGCCCCTTGGTCCCCATGAAGCTCCCCGCTCCTAGCCAGGGTGCCTACCCAGCCTGCTTGCTCCCAACAGCCCACTCTCCACTGAGCCATTTGCTCAAGGTCGACGAGCAAGTTCAGGGGCACAGCTGGGATTCAAAGGGGTCTAGTTTTGACCAGAGCAGGCTTGGGAAAAGTAATGGGATCCCTTGTCTCAGCTCCTTAGGCGGGCACTTTCCCTCATCTCTTCCCCACACCCTGGCCTGTTCTGGACCCATTTTACTCAGAAGTAGAGGCTCACTCAAAGAGGGCTTGGGACAGCTCAGGCCCCATGGCGAGGCGGGGGGCTGGCTGATTTGTAAAGGCAGGTAGGTGGGAAGAGGGGACCCCAAGCCCAGGGCGGGCACCACAGACACACTCACGCCCCATCCATGTCATCGTCCAGCTCCTGGAAGGCAGCGGCTGCCAACTCCTGCTCCCGCTGGGCCTTGGAAGCAGCCTGCTGCTCTGTGGAAGGCCCAGCTCTGTCAGCCTTGCCCTGCCCGCTGGCTCCCTCCACCCTGCGACCTGCCCTCTCCCATCGCCGGCTATGTGCCTGGCCCTACGCTGGGCACAGGGGCCCTGAGTCAGACCACTGTCGGGGAAAGACGGGGCAGAAGCCAGGCAATGACGAGGGATGGCCAGGGTGGGGGTGGAGGAGACAAGAAGTGCCAAATTGTGGGGAGATTCTGAAGGGGGAGCTGATGGGGTGTGCAAACGGGTCAGAGGTGGGGAGCAGTAGAGGACACCTCTGGATCTTTGGTCTCAACAAGCTGGGGCTATGAGAAACCATGCAAGGGGCAAGTGGGGGGACCATGCCTTATTTTTGCCACGTCTGGGAGGCCCCAGGAGAAGTGAACCGAGCACCCCACCAGGTTCACTCTCCAACATGAAGGAGACTGGGGAATGAGATGCGTGGGGACATGGCCAGGCAAGGGGAGTAACCTGGTGAGTGTGAGGTCCCTGTGGGACATCGAGGGGTAGGTACGTTCAGGTACAGGTGCATTTGTGAGTAGAGAACCAAAGAGGGGAAAACAGAGGTCAGGGGTCCAACCCAGAAGGGGCACCGGGATCTTGGGCCCACAGAGCAGGAGTGTGGGCCATCAGGAAAGGGGAGGAAAAGCATCCTCATGGAGCAGCGGCTCCCATGGAGATGGAGATAAAGTACAGACTTAGAAAATGGGAAGTCCGGGCCTCAGAAACCAGGACAAGGAGTACAGTAAGCCCGGTTCAACCAGGATGGAGAGAAAGAGGCTATGTGGCTTCACAGCATTGGAGGGGAAGGCCAAGGTTGGGGAGAGCTGTTTGGGCAACAGAGGTCTGAGTGTTATTTCTAGGTAGAGGGAAGATGCCAGGCAGAGATCACCCAAGAAAGAGGGAAGATAACCGAAGGTCCAGGCTCTCCAAGGAGCAGGAGACAGTGAAGCCAGGGTGTGAGGGCAGAAATAGCCTCCACTAAGAGGTACCTCTGCCCAGTGAGCCATTGGGATTCTGGACAGGGAGCCTGTATGCAGTCAGCTCCTCCCTGGTTTCCTGGCTCCCATTCCTCTTCTGCTCAGAATCCTCTATGGCTCCCACCTCACTTGGGGTAAAAGCCCAAGTCCTCCCCCAGGGTCCCCAAGGCCCTGCACAACCTGCCCATTAGCACCTGCCCTTGTCTCCCAATTCTCCTCAACAACTCCCTCCAGCCACACGGCTGCCTTGCTGCTTCCCCAAAGTAATGGGATGTTGCCTCAGGGCCTTTGCACCTGCTCCCTCTGCAGGCAAGGGCTGGCTCCATCTTGTTCAATGCTGTATTGCTGGCACCTGGGGTGTGCTGGGCACACAGCAGGCACTCAGCAAATGCTTGTTGGGTGAACTACTAAATTACTGATTATGAGAATTCAGGGCAGAGAGAGAGAAAAAAAGAATGCAGCAGATACCAAGAGATGGAGGAGATCAACAGTGTGGCCTCAGAGCATGGGCTCCCTGGCTCCTGGTTACTAGCCATACGAGCAGCTGGGGCCTCGCCTCCAAATCCTGCCAATAATACTTTGTCTTTTAACTAGCTGGGAGTAGAAGGCTTCTGCCCATCTGCCCCATCTACCCTGCTTCCATGGTGTGCCTCCCCCAAAGAGCAGACTGAGAACAAGGTCCAAGTCTTCCAATTTTCTGTAATGGTGGCATGACCTGACAACAGCAAGAAAATGCTGGACACGGCATAAAAAAAATCATCTTAAAACCAACCAAGGCAATAGGAATTGCCAGGGCAAAGAAGCACTTGGGAAGTTAAGAGATGTATAAGCTGGTTTTGCCCTAAAGTACTTTGCCAATCCTAGCAAATATGGATGTCTGTTTTGATGAGAACTTGTGGGGCCAAGGAGATGGAAATCAAAGTCTAAGGTAGGGAGCATAATAACAGACACCCTCCACCTCAAATGACTATACTGTGACCCCACAAGGCTATTCCTTCAGGAAGAGTGACTGGACCGGAAATCACCCAGCCTGCACTCAGATCTCAGCTCACACTGCCTGAGAGGCTGGAGGAACCTCTGGCCTGAATTTGGATTTAGGGACCTCCAAATGGTAGTGTTCCCATATGGCTGACAGAAAGAAAAGCCCCTTCTCTCTAGAGAAAAACCTCTTGTCCTAGGCTGCAAATTCTTCCTATAAATGACTGTCAAATACAATGACCAACACACAATCCAAGATAACTAGGCGCATGAGAAATTGAGCATCGTGATCCAAAGTCGAGAGAGAAAACAGATGACGATGAGCAAGAAGTCTCCTGGGCGCAGGCTCTTCCTGGGCCGGGAGCCAAGGGCAAGTAATGGCCACCCTGTGACATACCTTCCCACAGCTTCTGGTGCTGGTCTTTGGCCTCCTTCTCTGGCTTCTCGGCCTCCTCCTTCACCACCCGCAGCATCTCCACCTGGTCCTCCAGGGACTTTTTTCCGGCCTGTAGCTCAGCAAGCTTTTGCTGGGTGGGCAGAAGGCAAAGGGCGAGCTCTCCTTACATTCTGCCTTTTTCCTCACGTACTGCCACCTCCCTGCCTCTACTCCACAGGGCGACCACGGGATCTTTCTAAAGCACACACCAGCCTCGGTCCCCACCTTGCTACGGTTCCCCACACTGGAGAAACCCAAACACATCAATGTAACCCCAAGGCCCCATGGGACCAGGCCCCTGCTGCCTCTCCAGCCCCATCTGCTCCCTTGCTATCTTAAAGTCTAGATCTGACCGCCCTGACATTCAGACTTCTGAATGCTCTCTGCCTGCAGTTCTTCGCACTCTGCCTGGATACCTCTGAATTACCCAACAGATTTCAGCTTAGAGGTCTCTTCCTCCGGGAAGTCTAACCTTTTCCCCAAGACTGTTTTGGGGGAGGTGGGGGGGACCAAGTGAGAGTCTCCCGATGCCCCACCACCCCAAACTTCCCCTTTCCCAGAAGCCCTGGGCATCACCTTCTATCTGTCCACCCCCAGCAGACAATGTACCCTTGAGGCAGTTTCTGGTCTGCTGCCAGCTTCGTGCCCAGTACACGTCACACCTTGGGCCCCTGTGGATACTTCAAGTAGCAACAAGTGTGCCAGGCAGGCTCAAAGCCAAGGGTAGGGTCCCAAGCTGTAGGGTCTTAGCCTGAGCCCCCACGGGATCACTTTCCTCCCAAGACCTTGGCTGACACCTCGGCCTGGCTTGCTGCCAGGATCCTCCCAACTCCCCAGGAAGGCAAAGACCACTTGGAGATAACCTCGCCACAACGCTCCACAACTATCTTCTGAACTTGGGAGGAGCCTCACTGGCCCATGTATTTGGGGGGACCCCACTAGCCAGGCCATGGGGATGAGAGAGAAAAAGCTGGAATCTTCCCTAGGCAGAGACAGCTGGAGCCTTTGCTCACTGGGTCAGGCAGGAGCCCAGGAGCAGTGCTGAGGACCCTGACACATCAAATAGCCAAGGGGGTGGCAAGCAGGGGAGGGAGACACACACCTGGGGACACACCCTCTTCTGGCCCCCAAAGCACCCACCTATTGAACTAACCCAGCTGCTGCTGACTGACACAGACTTGAGTCCTCCCCCAGAGCTGGGAAGCCACACAATCATCAGCCTCACCTTACAGATGGCAGAACCACGGACCCGAGAGGCAGAGGCATCCCTCTCGTTCCAGGAGGCAGCAGAGCTGCTGCCAGCCCCCTTTAGTCTGACACCTGAGGTCTCGGTAAACGCCAGTGCCGACCACTGTCCACCTGGTAACAGCTTAACCAATGACTAAATGCCTGGTAAGCAAATAAGTAAACCAAAACACAGACAGTAACTGGCCGCAGGACACCACTCATCGGGAGCAGATGTCAACCCTATCCGGCCTCGCCAGCTCATGTTTCTAGACCTCAGGGCCCAGATCATCCTGGGCTGGCGCCACGGGCTCCCCACCTGCTTCTCCTCGCGGGCCTTCTTCCACTCCTCAATAAGGATCTTCTTCAGGCGGAACCCCTCACGGGTAACCTCTGCTATCTGCTGCAATGTCTCTCTCTCCTTACGGCCCTTCTCTCTGGGGTGGGAGGGGAGACATACAGGCACCACCAGGGGGCACTTAGGACCCATCATATCTGCCTCTTCTGAAAGAGCTCAACCCCACCTGCCACCTCATGTTGGGAAAAATAAGACAGAAACTTTCCTCCCCACACCTCTCCCTCTCTTGGCCTCAGAGCCCTGCATCCTTGTCCTTGGGAGTAGGGACCGTGGCCAGGGTTTGCCCACCCTTGAGGTCAGGGGAAGGACTAGGGAGGACTGGGATGGGGGACTGGAAGTTGGCTCCCAAGAGAGAAAGGGACATAAGTCAGACTCGCGGACAATCTGGCCAGTAAGCATGTTGCGCATGATTCACCCTCTACTTAAATAAAAGTCATTTGGTCAGAAAAGTTTCCATAAATATTAGGACTTTTGGTTTCACTAAAAAAACCAATCGGGCCCTGTCACCTGTTATCAACTGACAAGAGTCAAAGGCAGCTGTCTCTTTAGATGCCACAAGCCCCACCACTCCCTACTGCCTTACACTCAGCCTGCTTCTGCCATTTAATTACCTGTCTGTGGGCATTTCAGTTTCCAGGTCCTGTTGCACAGCATAGCAATTAAACACATGGAGTCTCAACTCAGACCGACCCAGGTTCAAGTCCTGGCTCTGCTATCTCCTAGCTATGTGAACCTGAAGAAGTCTTTCTTTCTCCTTTCTAAACTTGAGCTCCCTCACCTGTTGAACAGGCAAATGACTGCACCTGCTTCCAGACCAGAGAGAAAGCTGGCGATGGAGCATTTACAAAGCACCTGGCAAAGTAAGCGCTCAATACTCAAAAGCAGAAAAGAGGGGGCCGATTCACTGGGCAGGTCAAGGAAAGGTCCTGGAGGGATGGGTGGCACCCACGTACTTGCAGATGTTCTCACAGATGATTCCACTATTGTACTCATCCGTCCCGTCACAGCAGTCTGAGGACAGAGGTAGAGGGACCATCAGACCCAGCAGTGTCCCCTCCCTCCACCTACTGCCTTTTACCCCAACCCCGGTGGGATCTCACTTACCACAAACTCCGTCATTGACCCATCTGGAAGAGATGTACAAGGACTTGTAGCCAGTGTTAGTGCAGTGGAAGCTGCCATTAGGACAGGCGGCCGTGCCTGTGGGAAAGAAGGGAGGGTTTCTGGAGTGTGCTCAGGGCCTGACACATCCCATCCACCCAGACAGACCACTCCCTCCCCCAACACACATGCATACGGGGAGCACAAGAAAAGCAGGAGTAACCAACGCCGAGTAAGAGCAAGAGACAGCTGCACGCTCAGGGCCTGAAACAAAACTTTCCAGTGCTCCCTCCTGCCTCTCCCCACCAATGCCTTCAGAACAGGGCCCCCAACTCCCTCGCCTTCACTCTGCCTCTGTCTGCCCCTGGGACCCACCTTCTCTCCCACCTCTGAGTGCTTGCAAATGCTGGATTCTCCATCTGCAGCACCCTTTAGGACGCAGCTGAGAACTCACCTCCTCTCTCCAGGCTGGGTGGGGGCCTCTTGGAGCTCCCACAGTGCCTGTTGCTCTCCTCACCAAACCACCCACCACTCGCTTCTGTGCCTGCTTTCCCGCTCAACAGGGAGTGGGACTGCGTCTGTCTGGGTCACCACACGGGGCCTGGAATTCACCCGGTGCTCAATAAGTGTCTAATGAATGACTGAAGAAAAACTCACCTGGCTCATCTGAGCCATCCTTGCAGTCACAGTAGTCATCGTTGACGTGATCGAAAGGGATGGTGGCCAAACCGTCCAGGCAAGTAAAAGGCTTGGACTCATCATAGAAGTGATGGTCTGGGGAGAGAGGGAAAGGATTAAGCCTAGGGCTTACGTTGAGGAGGCCCTCTCAACCTAACAGCACTCTGCCTCCACCCACCAGCGAGCTCTGTACCCAGAGGCCGGGAAAGTGAGGCAAAAGCCTACAAACATCTACCCCAGGAGCCAAAAATCAGCCCCTTCCACACCCTTCCTCCCACACCCGGCGGCAGACTCACTGGTGAGAGAGACGCCCCGGGGCCGCTTGACCTCCACGGCCCAGCACACCGGGAGCAGCAACAGCAACAGTAACATTTCGGCAAAGACTCGGAGTCCGGAAACAGGTTCCGTGGGAGGAAACTGGCTTCGGGAAGATGCGCTGTGCCTCAATGCTGCAAGTAAGGGCGGCCGGTAAGTAGCAGAGGGCTACATCCAACCAAAGGAAAGCGCCTCTTCCTTCAGCCAATGGGATTCCTCCATCGCTTCAGGGCAATGGGGGCTCATCGGGGAAGATATGGCGTGTCGAGGGGGGTCTCCCCAATCCTGCCCAGTGGAGGGAAGTCTGACTTTGCTCCTATCAAGAGTGGGGATCTCAAAACCTCCGCTCCATGTGGCCGGGGGTTAAGATATCCAATTCCTACCAATAGGCTAAGGGGTTAACAATCTCCTCTCCCGACGCACGACCTCAGGTTACCCCCAAGAGGAAACTGGGGTGCCTTCCCGACCCCTTGTTCATCACCTACACGAGGCAGGAGCGAAGGTCAATATCCACCGCGCCCCCCTTGCCCAGCCGCCAACAGTTCCTCCTGCAGAAAGAAAGCGGAAATGTGCTGTATACGTCACTTCCTGTAACACGCTGCGCACCCGGAACGGAGGCTCGGTGACGCCATGTTGAGAGTGGCAAATAAGGTGTCGGAATCTAGACAGCCATCTTGGATAAGACTGTGAAGCTTTAAAGAGGGTAGTTCTGCAGGTTCACGCTTAATGGCGGCGCAAGGTGCTTCCATCTTGGGAGTGGCGGGTTCTGCAGTCACAAAAGAAAGATCCTGAAAAATGCCCGCGAACCTCAGGCGGGATTGGGGGCAGGGGTGGGAGGAGGAGGAAAAAAAAAAGGATGAGCACGTGACTCTAAAGTAACCTCCCCCGCCATCCTACTGCGCGACTCTGCCCCATCCCCTGTTGGGACCAGCCCTCCGCTCAGCATCAGCCAATGAGAGCAGTGGTGCAGAACGCGGGCGGTTTCCTTGGGAGCGCCGGAGGGAGGAGGGGAGGAGGTTACCTAGCAACCGGGAGATGCTGCGAGGCCCCGCCAAGCGGTCGGAAAGTGCATTTCCAGAGCCCGAGGAACCAGAGCTGACGGATTGCGAACAGGAGCGATTACTAGTCGCCCCCCTACCCCTCAGGGGTCTTTGGCCCCAACCCAATCATGACGTCTCCCCTGTGCCGGGCGGCCTCCGCCAACGCCCTGCCTTCTCAGGATCAGATTTCGACCTCTTCCAAGGCCAAGGGCACTATTAAGGCTGAGGCCAAGCACCGCCACCCTAGAGGCAAAGGCGCCGCACAGGCTTGGCCTCCACTCCATTCCAAGAAGGGACCTGTTTATGCCAGCCGGGGGAAGTCCGCTGTGCACACGCAGGTGGCTGAGTTACAGAGGAAAATACAACTGTTAGGTAAGATGGCTCCAAAGGGCATAACAGGGTCAGGAGTCAACAGCGTCCACTCAGACCTCTGACTAGGCATGGTGTGACAAAGATGTTTCACTAGCATTCATCCGGGTGGTCAGTTTCTGGAGACAAAAACTCATACTTGTTCATGGTTTTCCTCATCTCATAAAACTTTTTCTGGGCTCAGAGCCAACCTGACTGTATTTTATACTTTTGTGTAACCTCAGTTCTTATATTATGCATGATGTGGTGAAGAACATAGATTCTAGAGCCAGATTTTCTGGATTCAAATCCTGGTTCTGCATATACTCATTGTTTGCCCTTGGGGGACTAACCCCCAAGAGTAACCTAATTGCTCTCAATTTCTCCATCTGTAAAATAGGGATAACAGTACAACCCCATAGGTAGTTGAAATGTGATAAATGTCTAGAGTAATGCCTGGAAGAGGACTATTTTACTCCCCAGGGGACATTTGGTAATGTCTGGAGACATTTTTAGTTGTCACATTATTAGTGGGGAACTATTGGCAACTCGAACGTAGAGGCCAGGGATGCTGCTCAACATTGGACAGTGCACAAGACAGGTCACCACAGCAAATAGTCGTCCATCCCAAATGTCAGTCATGCCAAAGTTAGGAAATCCTGGTGTAAAGAATTATTGTTACTGTTTTATTGTTATTAGAAGGTAATCTTGCATAGTGATTGAAGGTATGGGCTTAGGAGTCAGACTGCTTATGACCTTGAACAATCTAATAAGCATGAGCCTCAGTCTTCTTATCCATAAAATGGTTATGATGTGGATATGGATATAGACCTACTGGCATATGGCGTTTGATACCTGGAAAGTTCTTAATCCAGCAACCAACACATGATAAATGTTCAAAATGAAATATTGTTATAATATTAAGTTGATGATTACAAAAAGGTCATCCCTCTGGGAAGTCTTCCCCAACCCCCCATGACGCTCTGCTTGTGCCTGTCCACCTCATGTGAACCCAGAGGGTGACCGGAAGGCTTTTTATGAGAGTAGCCAGTGGAACATCAAGAAAAATCAGGAAACCATCAACCAGCTACGTGAGCAGACCAGGGTGCTGCAACTACAGCTGACGGACCTGCTCCAGGTGAGGGTACAGAAGCAGGTGAAGATATTCCAGTGGGCGGGGCCAGCATTCTCAGGTGTGAGGCACTGCCTCAAGTTGATGTGGCCTGGATAAATGGCAACTGAACTCCTCTCCTTACAGGGAGATGAGAAAGTGGTCCAGGCAGTAATTCGGGAATGGAAGTCAGAGAAGCCATACCTGAAGAACAGGACAGGCCAGGTTTGTCCCACCCCCACTCCACTAACCATCTCCATTTCTAGCCTGGATCCCCTCCCCCTCTGGACTCCCTCCCTCCTATCCCACCTTCTCTAATGCTTTCTCCACACCAGCTACCACTCATTTATTTACTCAATCTTTATTACACGCCAACTATGTGTCTGGCATGGTATTACGTATTAGTGATCGTTCAGTGAAAAAAAAACGAACCAAATCCCCATTCCCCAAAACCTCATATCTTAGTGGAGAAAACAGACATAAGAACAGGAAATATAGAAAAAAAATAATTTCTAGCAGTGACAAGAGAAACAAACGAAACAGTGACTTACTAGAGAGATGGATGGGGACAGGAGTTCACACTTTAGATTGGGGTGTGGGGTGATCTAAGAGGTGATATTTGAGCTGAGAATGGGCCAGGCTGGAAATGATCTAGGGGAAAGCACTCCAGGCAGAAGAAATAGGAAATGTAAAGTCCTTGGGGGTAGGAACACTTGTAGAATGTTGGAGAAGCAGAGGGAGACCAGTGTGGCTGGATGCGAGTGAGTGAGGAGGGCTCAGAAAGAGATGAGGTCAGGGAATTCACAAAGGGCTGAACCTTGTAGCAGGCCTGCTGGCCACGATGAAGAGTGCAGATTTTATATGCTAAGAATCAAGGAAGTAGAAAGTGGACTGTGAGAAAGCAAGAGTGGAAGGCAGGAGGTCATCCCGGTAAAGATGGCGTTTGCTGCACTAGGATGAAAAGTACTGGAAATAGGAAGAAAGAGAGCTGGGGTAACCTTTAAAATAGAACAGAGAATTGCAAAGAAATTGAATGTAGGTGGGAGAGAAAAAGAAAGTGAGGATGACATCAAGATTTTAGACTCGAGCACCTAGGTGGATGGAGCCGCCATGAGCTGAGATGGGGAAGTTTCAAGAAGGGCAGG